GTGTGGCTGATTTTTCGTTTTTGCTTTTAATTTTCTTTTTAACAGTTGTACATTGCCTTACATTGTAAAGAATAGGCAATTCGAAAACTGAACATATAGATAAATAAAAATAAGAGGCCTCTTTGCCCTGCTTTGCTGTTCTTTTGGGGTCATGTGGTTGGCCACTGTAGGAAACAGGAGGCTGGACAAGGTGGACCAGAGATCCAATCCAACAGGGCTCTTATAGTTTCATGGTAGGTATGTTGGGTTATGCTGATCCTCCTCCTTGCTTTCAATAGAGCACATGACAGGCATCCAGGGATGCTCTTAAACCCTTGAAGCAAATTTAGGAAACTTCATCTAACATCAAGGGTCAGGGTTTTTTCTTCTGCCCCCCCACCCAGGTCCAGTAACACTAGATTGGGGGGGGGGGGTTAATAAAAAGATTTTATTCTATAAAGTATTTGAACTCTGACTTGGTGTTGGTTAACTTTTTAAACTTTTAAAATAATTCTTTGCTTGCTATTTTATGGCCCCGTTCACACGGAGCAGAAGCCACGCTAAATAGATGGAAGAGAGGCGGAGTTACCTGGCACGATCACACGGCAACATCTGGGGAGCGTAGAGCTCCCGTGGTTGAACTGTGGCGACCCGCCGATAAAACGGAGCAAAAAACTAGTACCTCGGAGGTACTAGTTTCCGGAAACTGCGGGGCAAGGGCGGGCGTCTGATCGCGTTTCCGGTGGCATCCGGCGCCCGTCCATGTCCCCTTGCGAAGAAGGTTTTTTTCCCCCCCAAGTCTCCGTGGTTGCGCACAAGCACCCAACGGAGCATGCGCATTCGTAGTGTACACAGAAAAAGGAAACTAGGTTGCCGCGCCGCGCGCTTCTTCGTTGCGCGCAGGCGTGTGTTGTGATCGCCGCCTCTCCGTAACCACGGAAGCTCCACGGTTCCTCCACAGAACCTCCACAGGAGGTATGATCGCTTTACTGCGTGTTAGTTTGCCCTGGGGCAAACAGCCACGCTTCCCCCCCGCAGTTTCCTGCCCGTGTGACCGGGGCCAATGTATCTTAGTATCTTATGCAGCTGGTCATTTTAATACTACTGCATTTTTGTTCCTACCCCACCCCGGAAGAAATGGCAGAATGTGCATTTTCAAAATAAAACTAAGCAGGGTTGGTGACACAGCACCAAATCATTGACACATGAGTTTTGTTTCCACACTCCGTTTTATGAATTCAGTTGTGAGTCTGACCCAGCTCAAAACACAGCTTTTATTGTGTCACTTGAAAGGCACAATTATGCCCTAAACTCATTCTGAAAGAAAGTTCCAAAAATTTACAGATCTCCAGAAATACCCAATGATACTTCCACTATGTTTAATGTTTTCATCTGCTTCCATTTTGCAGATACTGGAGCCCAGCCCCGCCCCGCCCCCGATCAAAGAGGTAACAAATTAAGTATTCTCTGTTTTACATGCTCTTTTTGCACGCATGCAAATGCTTTGGACTGTAAAAGGAAAAATCTACCAGGAAACAAAAGAAGGTTGCCAAGACAACCACTGTCATGATCTGGGCTGTGCCACCAGAGGCCTACTAGGCCCAGGGAGCCTGGCTAGCAGTAGGTGAGGCTGGGCCTACAACTCCCAGAAGCCCCTGAGAGGTTTTGGAGCCAAAATTGACCAATAGGAAAACAGGAGGGCTTGGAAGGAAAGATCTGGTGCAGCGGAAAAAGCTGTTCTTCTTCCCAGAGGGCAGAGCC